CTCCTCTCTCCTGCGCTCTGTGTCAAATGTTCAGTCATTCCTCTGCCTCTTTTATTGATGATGATATGACTTAAACTTAGAATACTGTTTTTGTCATTTTGTAAACACAGAGTGAATAAGGAACAAACTTATACACATGTGCAACCACTTACACCATTTGAAGAGTTTCAGTCTGGCTTTAGAGCTCATCATAGCACTGAAACAGCTCTGGTGAAAGTCACTAATGATATTCTCATGGCCTCAGATAATGGACTTGTATCTGTGCTCGTCCTGTTGGATCTCAGTGCTGCATTTGATACAGTTGATCATAATATTATTTTAGAAAGACTTGAATATTTTGTTGGAATTAAAGGAACAGAACTAGACTGGTTTAAATCCTATCTATTCAACCGATTTCAATTTTTTTCATGTTAATGATCTTCGCCATACTCCAGGGTTACCTGTAGAGCATTGTTAAATTGTGAAGAATTTAAAATCCTTCTCACATATAAACCCTTAAATAACAAGCTCCATTTTAAATCAGATATACGATTGTTCCTTATGTTCCTAATAGGGCATTTCTCTCTCAATCCTCAGGTCTACTAGTGGTTCCTAGAATTTCAGATGGCCACTCACACTGAGCCTGGTTCTGCTGGAGGTTTCTTCCATTAAAAGGGAGTTTTTCCTCTCCACTGTCGCTACAAGCATGCTTGGTGTAAGGGATTGCTTTCGAGTCAATGAGATGATGCAATCAACTGGTTTCTCTTGGATAGAAAACTTTAAACCAATTTTACTGGATGATCTGGTTGAATTGTCTCTGTAAATTGCCTTGAGATGACATGTGATGTGAATTGGTGCCTTAGAAATAAACTGAATTGAATTGAAAGATCATCATGTAAAATCAGATTTCTAATAGTTTGCTCCAACATTCTTTTTCCAATGCTTACCTGTCTGTCCATTGTCTGATGTCTCTCCAACCCAACCCTCAGAACGTTCTTTCAGCTGAACCCGACTTATCCTCCTAAAATGACACCTCCTCAGTTGACCGTATGCTGGATTTGTTTTTTTTTTTTGGAACATTCAAGAAATTAATCCAAGATTCTATCTAAGTCTAAGTAACTCTCTCTTTGAGACCCTTCCTCACCCTTCCCAGCACAAAATCTCCTGCTTTCCACATTTTCTCCTTTGCATATATTGTAAAGAAACCTGATTTGTTGCTTTCTATCCTGTGTCCATTGATTAATTCTGCATGTTGGTTCAAAGAGTTTCTAGAAACAGGTCAGAAAAACAATATAAAAAAAGGAAAATAGAAATTCCAATTATTAGTGTTTTCTATGATGGTACTGATTTCTTGTTTTTTGTGTTGCAGCTATGGCTTCAAAGAGGTCAGCTTCAATACTAATGACTTCAATGATTCTTCTGCACTGGGCAACTGCCTGGTCAAATCCTTCAACCTCCTTTTTAAGCAAAGAACTACCTTCTGGAAGTATAGAGAAAACAGAGAAGGCTCTCAACGTTGCAAAGGAAACCCTTTCTCTTTTGAAAGATGTCATGGAAAACACTGACTTGAAGAAGCTGTCCACTGCAATGAAGGGTATCTCCATGTTTGCTAGTCTAGCACCAGGAGTTGGAGCTTTGGTCTTCTCTACCATCAGTATGGCTCTGGCCTTTATCCCTGAGGAAGACCCGTTGTTGAATGAGGTAAAGAGAGGCTTTGCTGAGGTGAACCAGAAACTGGACTCTCTTGCCATGAAGATCTCCAAACTGGCAACAGATGTAGCATGGTATAACTATGCCAGTGCCTACTCTAGAGACGAACTTACCATCCTCAATACCTGGGAGAAGTTTAGTGAGTTTATGCGTAGAACTGAATCTCAAAGTCCTGAGGAAACATCAAAAAATATTAAAATATTTACCAGCTACTATGAAAGTACAGGAACTGAGGCTAGTGTGTCCAATCTTTACCGCTACCTGACAGTGGAAAGCACATCTCTCACTGAAAACCTTAACAATCTGCTGAGGAAGAAGTTTAAATGTAATGTTTATGAGATCAGCAGGTATAGCATGTACTTCAGCAGCTTGTTTTGGAAGGGGATGGTGCTGAATCAGTTTTACTGGAAACTGACTGAAGTCAAAGCAGCGACCAAAGAAGCCGACCAGATAAAGATGTTCAAGAAGGTTTCTGAAACTCAGTTATCAGCTTTGGAGTTCTGCCTCGAAAATTATGAAGAGTATTTAAAGAAAGACGTGGAGGAGATTGCCAAAGATTACATTTCTCACAAAGACAGCGTTGCTGTTAAGGTGAAAGAAGCTTTGGACAACAAGTATGGCTGGTACAACTGGGTGGTGGTGGTCTTTGACACCAGTGAGTCCAAAAATCTCAAGCTTTATACCGAGTTTAAGTTCACCATAAGCAATCTTGTACTAGGAGTAGACTATACTGTAATGGCAGATATGATAAATGCTGCAGAATTACAGAGTACTGCCCGAGAATGTTTTGAAAACAAGGATTGTGAATTTCAGAAAACAGCACAGAGATGCAGTCATCGATGGTATCCAGACAACCAAGATGAAGTTGACATTCCTTTTAAGAAATATGCCAAAATTACACATGTTGCCTATAAAAAGCAGTTTGTAGAGGTCCCATCACCTTTTCAACGAGTGAAGTGTTACTGGACTGGCTATGAATCATGGTTGTCTGTTCATTATTCCAGACAAATCTCTGTCTGTGCCACCAACCAATGTAAGAACAATGGGAAATGCAAGAGAGTACTCTGGTCCAATGAGTGGCTGTGTGAGTGTCAGGACAGTTACTATGGAGACACATGTGAAAAACAAATGAACATGACGCTTACCTTTTCCACAGATTTAACTAGCGCCGTATTGTCCAAAGAGCAGATCATCATGATTGCAGTTATTCTTTCTGTTTTGGTTTTTTTGTTTGTCTTGGTGCTGTTAGTAGTGCTGAAACGAAAAAACTGGTCTTTATTCCGTAAACAGAACTGTTCAGGTGTGAAGTCTGAAAACATGGTGGGCAACAGGGTTGAGAAAATGGTAAGCAGCAGGGCTCATAGGTTTGAAGAATTTCATGAAATGAGTGAAAGTATTAATACCAGAGAGATAATGAGAAAATAAGAGTAGTTATCCAGTAAAGGCAAGGGCAACTGGTTGTTTCATAGCAACATCTACGGTAACTCAAGATCATTTTTGTCACTATCCTAGGGTGATTTTTGTTTTGTTTTTATTATTTCACTGTTTTTTGTTTATATCTATTTAGGTCTGGTCATGTTCTGTTCACTCCCTGTATTCATTATTATTCGAAATTTCCTGACATATAGCTGTATCGCTCTGCATTCAACTTCATTCTTATGTTCTGTTATTTTTGGCTTTGGATTTAGTCCAGTCAGATCAGTATTGTTATTGCCAACCTTCATTTACTGTTTCCTTCAGTTTCAGTTCAGATCCTAATAAAAGTTTATTATCTATCATTATTCCTGTTTGCTGTCACCCAGCAGCACTTTGTTACTTATCAACCATCAGCTATTTGTAAATAGTTCCACTAATCAGTATTCAAGCTCCTGGATTTTCTAAGTCCTGCCTTAGCTCTTAGTAGTTGAATTGTTATTAAAGTGTAAGTTTTCACTACAGTTTTGCTCCAGATTTGGGTCCTTTATACTATAAATATGACACATTTATTTTAAAGGAAAAATCCAGTCACATTCAAAATACAAACTTCAAAAGTACTTTAAGTAGGGAATTTTAAAATACAGTTCAATAAATGATCAGTGTTTTTAATTCAGAGTAATTTTCATGTGAATGTGCTTTACTGGAGGCATCCATGTTTGTCAAAGAACACTACTGCCACCTACTGGTTTGTGACGTCACGGTGCGGTATCGGCTGTTGATCAAGTCCCAGTGCTGTATCTGGTGTTTGTCACAACGCGCTATTATCCAAGAGGGCGACGACCAGTGCACTATGATGTGTTTTTTCTCTGGCCAGCAGTTTGACGGCAAATCCTTCCTCTCCAAGTTGGCAATCCAAACCTTCAATTAATGTTTGTTGATTGCAGATGTGTCTAGTAGTTCCCACTGATTTTGCTTGTAAAGCGGGGAGAATGGCGCTAGGCTTACCGCACCGTGACGTCACTGCCTGAAGATGGCAGGAGGGAGGGGTTACTATGTTTGTGCAAAAATGGCCGCTGACAGACTCATTGGTTGTGACAAAAATGTTTGTTTTTAGTTTTTTACTGATTAACTCTAAATTCATTAAATCACTGCGAATGTATTAGTTTTAGGTATAAATAATGATCCATTGATTATTCCTTACTGACCGGACTTTTCCTTTAAAAGGAGATTTCACTGTCATGATTTATCATTTGCTTTTGCCATGACTGATAAATCTTAATCTATCTCGCAATTATTTGTCCAATGACATAGAATAGCCTGAATATAAGTTTGTAGAATTTATTCAGTAGTTGAGGGTTTTTACTCAAATGTATCAGGATGTGTTGTTGTCAAATTCGGAGACTGTATAATTCATTTAATAAAATCATCTTTTTATTTACAGAGGATATTAAAATGGTGTGGTGTCACATTTCTGAATTTGGTTGCTAAAGAACAGGGAGGTAGAAAAACACAACTAAACAATAGTTTATATACTATT